ACGATCGGATGAAAAGAGCAGGTCATTTGTAACTCTGATGAGAGCAGTCTCAGTACTATGTTACGGTCTAAATCCTGACTGGAAATCCTCACAGATACCATTTCTCTCTGAGAAGGAACATAGCTGAGAGGATACTGCCTTTTCTAGTATTTTTGACAGAAAAGGGAGATTCGAGATTGGTCTGTATTTGTATCACAAAATATCAGAGGAAATTGTAAACTTTCCCCATTGTGGGAATCCAGCAGTTGACTGATTGGACAAGAGAAAAAATGTGGCTACTTTTCATTCCTTTTGGGCGGGTTTTGAGCTGTCATTGGGCTGGAAAATTTTCTTGGACCTGGCAACCCTGGTTTCAACAATTGTTTCACTTTCATTTAACACCAGACGGAAAGACAGGTTTGTGTTTTGACGCACAAAAATCAAGCTATTTTGACAAATATTTAGTTTTTTTCATGCTTCTTTTTTCATAGCTCTTTTTCATAGTTCAAGGATCTGTGACAAAGGCTTGCTTACAAATAATGTGAGCTGGCAGAAGAATATACAAATCCACCACTGCTGTGCATGCAACAATTAATTTTTGTTTGGTTTATGTCTTGTAAAATAATGTTAATGTTCAGCAGCAGTAACATCATTTAGAAACTATAGCAAAGACAAAAAAAATGTCAGAAAACAGGACAATGAAAGACCCAAGATCCAGTAAGTTTTCAATTCCTCTTTTTGTATACTTTCCATTTGCTTACAAATACTGCTTTTTAAACAAATTCATGACAGAAGAATATTCAAATACATACCTTTTTTTTTAGATACAAGACTCTCTGAGATAAGAATATTAATGATTGGGGGTCGAGAGTTGGGGGGGAAAGAAGCAAGTGGAAAAAGTTCAGCAGGAAACACCATTTTGGGGAGAAATGCTTTTGATATTAGTAGAAGAACTGCACGATCTGTTCAAGCTACAGGAGACGTGCATGGAAGACATCTGACTGTTGTTGACACACCAGGCTGGTGGTGGCATTACACTATTGAAAATACTCCACAGTTTGATAGACTGGAAATTATAAAAAGTCCAACACTATGTCTTCCTGGACCTCACGCCTTCCTTCTTGTCATACCTATATATTTAGCATTTCCAAGTATCTATAGAATGACTCTGGAACAACAAATGAAGTTTTTGTCTAATGAGGTCTGGAAACACATTATTGTGTTGTTCACTTCTACTGAGCCTTGTGATGAGAGCTCTTTGAAAAACAAGGTCAGAAAATGGCCAGATCTCGAACAGCTGTTAGGGAGGTGTCACAACAGATACCACATTCTTAATATTAACAACCAGAGTGACAACACTCAAGTGATCGCACTGCTGGAAAAGATTGAGAAAATGGTGGCACAAAATAAGGACCAATGTCTTCAAATCAGCCAAAGCATATCTGCATGGATTCAGAAAGAAAAAACAACAAAGGAAAGAGACAAACAAAGAATACTCACTGAAGGAAAACAAACGACTAAACTTCAAGCTGACAACAGAGGTAAAAAAGTGCATTGGTATTATCTATTATATAAGTTAAGACTCAATGTATATGAAAATATGGTGTATATGTACTGTTGATAATGTGATGCTATAACCTTAAATAACTGTCCTTATTTAGATGGGGCACAACATCTGACTGATATAAGGACTGTGATAGTTGGAGCTTCTTGGGCTGCAAGAAGCTCTGCAGGCAACGTCATTCTGGGGGAAGAAGCTTTTGAAGTTGACGATTCAAGAACAACAGTGCGCTGTGCAGTTGGTCATGCTAAAGTACATAGCAGACAGCTAACAGTGGTCGACACTCCAGGCTGGTACTATAACAGTCCTCTTGAAAACACATCAGAGATGGACAAACTTGAGATTAGACGTAGTGTGTATCTATGCCCTTCTGGACCACATGCTATTTTGTTAACTGTTCCTGTTGCCACAGCTTTTAACAAGTCTTATCAAACTGCTGTGGAGGAACATATGAGTCTTTTGGGGGAAAATGTCTGGAATCATACAATTGTGCTGTTCACTCGAGGAGACTGGCTTGGCGATACAACCATTGAGGAACGTATCGAGATAGAAGAAGGACGCCTTGAGTGGCTGATGGAAAAATGTGGATACAGATATCATGTTTTAAATTGTAAACAGCACAATAACAACACACAAGTAGTGGAACTCCTTGAAAAGATTGAAAAAATGGTGACGGAGAACAATGGCTGTTATTATGTTCCAGAAATAAAGAGTGATCCAGTCACTGAGCTTGAAAAGAAGATGAAAACTGCAAGTACTAACAAGATGAACGTGAGCAAGCAAAGACATAGCCTTAAAGAGTTGCTTAAAGGTACTGTAGGTGCACAGCTTGCTACTTTGTAAAATTGCAAGTAAAAAATATATGTATTTTCACATTTAAAGGAAGGAATTAACTCAAATCTGAATCCCAATCACTGTGAACATAATGACATACTGTATAATTGAATGCAAAATGGTAATACAATTTTGCAGGCACTCTACTTTAGCTCTTAGTTGTGACTATATTTACAATGAAGAACTGAGGCAGGCTGTGAATTTTTAATAGTAAACACTCTGGTACTTCTTCATCAATACTAGAACGAAAATACAATCTCAAAGATGTGAGGATCGTGCTTCTTGGAGCAGAGGGAGTCGGGAAGAGCACGTCAGGAAACGTTATTCTGCAAGGATATTTTTTTGAGCCCACACTGGGAGAGGTATTACATACTTCCATGTTTGTGATATTCAAGATTCAGTTCTATATCCTGTGCAAAAGTCTGAGGCATGTTAGTATTTTCACCCCAAAAAATAGTTTTAAGCCAGTTATTTTTATTTTTATTATTTGTAATAATCCAGTGAGATTTTTGTATCCAGAGGGAGTCTGACAACAGCCGGTGCTCCACACAGAGATCTGATCTCACCATCATAGAGTCTGTCTGTTATTACATTAAGAAAAAGAAAACGCTTAAAGCTACGTGAAAAACTGTGCCTAGGACAAAAGCTGCTTTAAAAGCAAATGGTGGTCACACTAAATATTGATTTGATTTAGATAATAGCAGCTCACTGAAAAATAAAATCAATTTTTGACATTATTTTTGAAAGCATTTACAGAGTTTTTACACAGTGCCTAAAACGTTTCACAGTACTCTAGCTTTGCAGATACAGTATCTGTCTTCAAGCATCTTAGAGGCATTGCCACAGTTCTTCTGGATTTAGTCTGTCTCAGTTTTTTTCTCTTGAATCATGTAATAATAGACAGACTCGATGATGGTGAGACTAGATCTCAGAGCGGTATTCACTTTCTGTGAATACAACTGGACTATTACACATAATGGCAAAAGGAGCTTGGAAATGTAAACTGATCATAGCAAAACTTATAATTATTGGCTTAACATGCCTAAGACTTTTTCACAGTACTGTTGCCTGTTAGCTGTATGATCAATTACTGTTTTTATGTTTTGTGATGATTATTTATGAGTCCTTTGAAAGAGTTTTCTTACTGTTCATTTTTAAATAGAATCATTTAGAAACTTATTTTTTCTTGTTTAGATAAATTCATTGTAATTTTTTCTAGGGTCATGAAATCCATACAAGGCAATGTGTAACAAAACAGAGGAAAGTTGAGGGACGTCATGTCTCAGTGGTGGACACACCAGGCTGGTCCACATCAACTCTGGAAAATGCCAAAGAAATGTTGTGCAGTCTGGAAGTTTGTTCTCCAGGACCTCATGCATTCCTGCTAGTGTTGCCTGTATGCAAGCCTTTTACAAAGAAATGTCAACAAACAGTAAAGGAGCTCATGAGCCTTTTTAGAGAGAATGTCTGGAGACATACAATAATATTATTCACTGAGGCACACTGGCTGAAGAATACACCAGTTGAGGAGTATATTGCATGTGAAGGAGAAGCTTTGCAAGAGTTGATAAGTAAGTGTGGAAACAGATATCATGTGATAGAGAATGACTGGAATAACAGATCTCAAGTCAGAGCCTTGTTAAAGACGATTGAACAAATGGTGGCAAGAAATAGAGGTGAATACTTCACTCTTGAAAAAAAGGCAAGCAAGCCAGCAGTCCTCGGGTGGCTCAGTGGGTCAAAGACACTGACTGAAGAGGAGTGGATGAAACGTGAGGATGAACTTATTGACAGGGTGTTGAAAACACTAGTGGTGGATCCAGATGAAAACCCCAAGCAGTCACCTCACCAACTAAAAGGAAGTTTTGATGGCTCAATCCCAAATAGTATGTTTCTGTTTATATACAAATATATAAGCTATAATAATAATGTAAATTATATAGAATACATTTTCATATTACATGCACAATACATATAAATGTGCAGTCTACTATTTTAACATATTTATACTATTATTTACATTTACAGTATGTTTAGAGAGGCACAATGTACCTATAAATGATGCATGGAATGAGCAATGATTTCCATAGTAGCTTTACTATATGTACTGTAACCAAAATGTCTAACATTAAAAACCAATGTGTTTTCAGTGAGTGGAGATTCTGGATTTTCTGATGGAAACAGTGTATCTGGAGTTGATGTTCTCAACTCTACTGTTAAAGTAAGTAGTTGGCTTGGGCGTCCAGGAAATGATGCAACATCATCTGGATATGACACCATGAGCACTGCATCCAGTACTCAATATCAGAAGATGGAAGATGTCAAGGTTGATATTCCAGTGTCCAGACACCCAGTGGGCACTCTGAAACCTGTTAGTGATACGAGTGCAAAAAAGCATTCAAGATCAAGATCAATATAAAGCAACTCTTCTGTGCACTGTGGGACAAGAGGAAACAGTCACAATATTAACATATATGCTTGTGATATCTTAAAGCTGTTGTGCTCGTGTGGGACAAGATGCTAGGTCTCTGTGGTGGACATACCAGGCTGGTCCACATAATCTATGGAAACTATGAAAATGTTATGCAGTGTGACAGTTTGTTCTCCAGGTCCACATTCATTTCTGCTAGTACCTGTACTTGAGCTTTTCTAAAAGAAATCTCAACAGACAGTTAAGAAGCTCATGAGCATTTTTGGTTTATATGGCAGATGGCAGAAATTGTATTCCAATGCCCATACACCAACACATTGCGTAGAGACTTAAACAAACATCAGTAACACAAGTAAAAACAATGTATAAACCTTAAAGTACAATCTTGCAAAACATATTTAATAAAGATCTATACCCGGGTTTAATCTCGATGAATGCACACACTCATGAAATGGGAATTCACTTTGGATAAAAGTGCAAAATGCATAAATGTAAGCTTGCAAAATAGTGTTCCACTGTACCACCCGTGGTGCAAAAATAGGATTTCAGGAACGCTAAGGGGTTTTAAGTAATGACATAACTATATAAAATAAATACATAGTAGCATTTCTTACATAGGGTTTGTTAATTCAACAATATATTCAATATACAACAAGTGTAAGATCACTGAACACTGTAAAGTCCAATTTTAAGACCATTAAACTTTGTACTTGAACTTTTGTGTTCTTTGTGTACTTTAACATTATGCATTATTGTGTTTATGTCGGCAACAATGTGGAATATGCACACATCTTTAATAAACTGGTTTATATATACTTTCTGTAAACAGCAATTGAATATACAGTAAATGTTCCATAGTAAGAAGAGTAGATGAGCTGTCACCACTGAAAAAGCATCTATATACAGTACAGTACTTATAGTAGTACTATGTTTACAAAGTGTCAATGAGTCTGTACCATATACTGGAAAGGAGGCTGGAGAAGCCATTGGAGCCTCTGGAGAAAGGAGGAAACAGAGAAATGGAGTGAGAACTTACCCTGATAGACGAGGTTAAGCATGAAGAAGAAGCCGATCCTAGACTTCTGGGGGCCCTACGCAAAACTGTGTCGGCCGTGGGGGGGGTATGAATGACGAGTTATGAATGAATGAAACGCCTTTGTCCACTTGAGAAACGGTGTCTCTTCCGCGGCTCGGTATGCTTTCAACTCTTTTTTTTTTGTCTCCACTGTATGACATTCACGTTACATGATTTGACTGATTTTTACATAGAAAGGGTCGACAGCGCACCACATTAAAAGAAATGACATAAGCGGTTTTCATAACTGCTGGCCAAATTCAAAAAACAAAACTAAAATTAAATCATCTTTGAGAGCAAGGGGGCCCCCTGGTGTTTCGGGGGCCCTACGCAGCTTGCATACTTTGCGTACAGGGAGGATCGGCTCTGACGAGAGGAATAAAGTACAGCTAGTTCCAGGTGTTCCCCGAGGCATCATTAGTCTGAGCATAGAGATGAAAGAAGTTACGCATGTTCTTGTGAATAGTGCTAAATAAATATATTTCACAAATAGAGGAAAGCAACTATGCAAAGCAAATGAATTACTGTACGGAAATGAGAAGAGCAAGGCTCAGAGTAATAGAAAGATGCTACGCTTCATGTTACCGTTAACTCTCTGCTACAGCTGCCACTTATTGTCACTTCCCCGCACTTATCATGTAAACACCACTTTTACGGTGTCTCTTTCATTATATGGAAATCCAGGGCATTATAGACAGATGGTATGATGTAGGGTTGTGAATCTTTGGGGTGAAAGCAAATAGATTTAATTTATGATTTATTGGTTTTCTTCTCAAAAAGGGATATTTGTAAATTCAGTTTGAATTTTGCTGAATTCAACCGAAAACCTTTTTAAAATGCTTTTATAGAATTCAGAAAGGACTTTCCTTCTTAGACAAAAAATAGGAATAAATAGCCATAGGAAAATGTACATATAGCATGAGATCTCTTTATATTGTATTTCAATTGTTTCTCGTGGTTAGCAATGTGATTAAATTGAGAGAAAATTGAGTGTTTTGCCTTTTTAGATTTTTCCAAAATCTATTAAATTGCCTCACTGGCTACTACATAGGTAGCTGCCTTCTAACTGAAAATATTGTTTTTTATTACATTAATTATTAATTATTATCTATACCTTTTAGAATTGAATGAATTACTTCTATAATCAACAATTCTCTCTTTGCACTGTAAATTATGGCATTGCCTTCTGTGAATGATACATTATGGTCCCGATAATTTAGGCTAAATGAGGTATGTTAAGAGTGTAACAAAATGAAGTTGATTTTCTTTGAGAAAAGGCCTCCTGAGATGAGTGCAGATTTGATGTCTCAAAATACTGTCTAGTTTGAAAGAGAGCAATTGTCTCTTTTTCAGTGTTTTGCTCTACTTTTACCCACAGTGTCTTCCTAGTGCATGGAAATCCTCCTAAAATATTTGCTGCTATGGAAAGCAATAATACATTTCAAAAAGAGTCATAACATTATGAAAATAATGCCATAATGTTATGAAAATATGTTATGAAAATAAGCCATAATGTTATGAATAAGCCATAAAATGTAAAGAACTGAAAAAAATTTGGTGTGAGATTTACTTGAAAAAAGCTATGTAACAATTTTCACTCAGAAAATGTTAGTAAATATATCTGAACGGTCCAAGTAAAGGCTAAACACAAGTATTAGTAGTTTTAACAAGAAATTCCCAAGTAAGGGTTCAAGTAAATGTTACTCATCCTTTGTTTGTACATTTTATTTAAGTGATGCTTATAAACATACTTAATTTTTTTACATGAGTCCTAGTTATCTTTTTCCTCAGTAATCTTTACTTGAAATATTTTTTAAATATTACTTGAAATCATATATGAGGTATTAATATAATATAATATAATATAATATAAT